ACTTTTGTAGTCATGCTGATAACAAACCACATTCCTTTAATTCAACAACTTTTGTGATTCTAAGTGTAGGGGACCAGCTGAGGTGACAACTTGCACATGCACACATTCACAACTTCCACGTTTTCTTACGGGGTTTCCTCAGCTCGGTACCGCTATGCCTCAGCTCGACATCATTATGTCTTGTCTCGGCCTTTTCACTATATTAATAAATTCATAATTAAATTCTTTGTTCCTTAACTCCACCACTTCGGCTCTCCCCTTCCGGCCTACACATATATCCCATGTGCCTCCCGTATACCTAACACCGCTCCGAAGCCAAACTTGCACGGGGATATCGTCCCGAGTTTGACTCACACTCCCCGGATGGTTAGCATATACGTACGCGCGCAAATCAAAGCACTCGTCTACTCATGAGAACGAGGAAACAATATATATATACACAACATCTCACACATGAGAATAAACATAACAATGCCGAGCCTAAGGCATTCAAATAAATCTCATAATCCTCACTTTTTTTATACACTCTATCTCACCATCACTCAAATACAACAACAATCCATGGAGTCATGGTGGAGTATAAGGAATTTATCTATGAGTTCCTAATTAATTTTAAATTTCATATAACCATGAGTGTGATTACAACAATATAATAAATCCATATAAAAATCCTAAATTTGACATACCCAACTAATCAAACTAATTAAATTCAATCAATCAACTAAAAACGCTAAACCTTACATACACAACTAAACAAAATAATTAAAATAAATCAATCATCTAAAAATCCTAAACTTTACCTACACAACTAATCAAAGTAATTAAAATCAATCACTTATCTAAGAACCCTAAACTTTACATATACTACTAGTCAAAATAATTAAAATCAATCTATCATCTATAAACCCTAAATCTTATATCTACAACTAATCAAAATAATTAAAATTAATCTATCATCTTTATGTAAAAACAAAATCAAACTAACATCAAACAAATAAAAATAAATAAATAAATAAATAAACAACGAATTAAAAATAAATCCAGGGAAGTGGGTTTTGTACTCACAATACTTTATTGAAGATCAAAGAATATTTAGAAAACTACTAGAGTCACCAAAACAAAACCCTAATCTTTCCTTTTCTTCATTCTCCTCTTTTTTTCTTACTGCCGCCCCTTTCTTTGTCTTCTTTGATTTCTCTCTCTTTCTCTCTCTCTCTCTCTCACAACTTGGTCTCTCTCTTATCCTTATGATCTCCTAAACCTAGTTGAATACTTCTATGTTATTATATATATAATAACCTAAGAGCTAGTATAACCTAATAATCTTATACTGTAAACCTAAATCTCAATATATAATAGCTTAATAAACTATAATATGCAATAAATTTAATAATTACAACCTTAAATGCCTTAAATATCACATTAAACCTTATGTAACCACCCAATTAATAATTACATCATTAAATCCATTAAATATCACATTAAATCTCATGTAACCACCCAATTAATAATTACAACATCAAATCCATTAAATATCACATTAACTCTCATGTGACCACACAATTAATAAAGTCAAAAATAAAATAAGATAATAATAACCATAATAATAATAAATACTGACTAAAGAAAATTAGGGTCGCTACATACATGCTTGCTTGTTTAGATTACATCTTCCATGATTGGCCATTAGCATGGTGGTCCATGCCTTGCATGCTTATTTGCATAGGTTGTGTACCTAGCATACATTGTTTGCTTACATGCTCTTATTGCATATTTAGCTGGCATGCTTAGGCTACATTGTATTGAGCATGCATGCTTTGCCCCTTGAATTGAGCATGATAGAGGTTGGGCTTTATGTGTTTATTTGGTTTGCATGTCATTTAAAATCAAAATGTACACTTGGTTCTTGGGCCATCACGCATTAAAATGCGCAATTGGTGGTCCGAGAATCGAGTACCATGCTCCTTTGAGTCATGAATATGATAAGGAGTGTGGTTGGTGCAAACATTGCTTGAAATGCATTGACATGCCATGTTTTTCCCTCTGTTGCTGTCAAAATAGATTTCTGCAGGAAGCTTTGGCTGGTCGACTGAATATAGTGTCGATCGACCAAAAGTTTGTAGCCGAGAGCTACACCAATGGTCGATGACCACCCTGCCATGGCCGGTGATCATTCCCCTTGGCCGGTGGTGTTCCACAGTGTCCAAAAAGTGTACCTTGGGATTTATGCAAGTCTCAGAGGAGCAGAACAGGGTAAACAGAGGCAGATTGCGTATGGCATTGGATTTCCAGGCGAAGCCAATCCGAGCACGTGTGCATCCCTCTTCCCGAGGCCTTTTAATGCTTTCCTTAATTTAATTGATTTGTTAATTAAATAGGTGGTCTGTAAATTATTTAATTAGCTTGTAGGTTAATTAAATTGTATTATTCTTTTGGTCCCTCCGAGCGAGGGCGAATTTGTAATAAGTGTGGGTGCGTGTATGCATGTCTTCCAACCCCCACTTCTTTCTCCCTTTTACTTACCTGCTTTGATGGTTAGTATTAGGGCATATTTAATTTAGCATACCTTATGCTATACATGCGTGCATCATTCATCAGTCTTGCATGCATCGGGTTCGGCGCATCATGCTAACCGCATAGTATTTTAATTCCAAACTTGAATACGTGTATCAAGTTGTCGCATTTCACATGTCATTCTTAGATTAGTCGAGCCTGTTCTAATGACATTCAGTATGCGATGCATTAGCCATTTAACATTGAACTAGGATCATGCATGATTACTAATGAGTTCATTGCTTTGGCACGGAGTACGATGTAAGTATTTATGCTTTAGCATCTCGCATGAGTGTGAATGTTAACATGACAGCATGCTTACCATGAGGCTATGTGCTTATGTGATATATCTGCCTAAATGCCTGTGGATGAAGGTTGGCTTATCTAAATTGGAATAATGCATCGACTGTGAGTTTTAAGCCCACTAGACAGTGACAAAATCATGTTTTCTAAGCCCACCTAAAGGTGGCAAAATCTGCATTTTAAGCCTACTTGCGGGTAACAAACAGTTTTCAAAACAAACATGAAATATTTTGTTCCAATTCAAGCGACCCAGTCTATACTTGTTTTACTGCGCGCATCACATAATAAATCTAGGCTAATAACCGAAATAAGAACGCATAATATTTTCAAAACTAGATATCATGGTTAGTAGAGGCCGATCTTCGAATCGGGCGAGCGAGGGTGCTCATAGCTAACTTTCCCCAATTGTACCCAAGTTCCCGAGCCGAGGCAACTTTGGTGATGACGGACACGTGGCCTTAGGCAAACGAGTCAGGGTTTCCTAAATTTCCCCCATAAAAAATATTTAGGTGGCGACTCTGTATCTGGAAAAGTAGTCCATGTTTGGCACTTCTTTCTAAAAATCTGTTTTCTCAAAACGATTTGCCAGATTTGGACTCTTTGGTTCAGATTTAGAACCGTGACAATTTGAGAGTCCGAACTGTAGTAAGCCCAAATGAACAGAACGAGACCCATCCTCCCGGGGCGTTCGGGGACATCCACACCGTGTCAGGATCAATGTCTCTCATGCACTGCGTCGTGGTGTGAAAATTTCCCTACCTGGATGTAATGTTGTATGGGTGTCGTTCACATATGAACGATTACCAAACTTTTGTTATTTTGTGGTAAGATTGGTCATAGTGACAAGGAGTGTGAATCTAGACTGGTGGCTTCAGTCCCGGGACTACTCCAATATGGGCCTTCTCTTCGTGTTGATATGTTTCGATTGAAGGGTTTCTCTTGTGAGCCTCGTGCTAGAGTTGGTGGTCACCTTGCTCCAGCGTTTGTGGCCCCCGAGGGTGCACGGTTGGCGACTCCATCACGCGTGGTCTTACGTATATCTCCATTGCCAAACCTTCCAACCCCGACTGTTTTGGTTCCGTTTGGTCGTGAGTGTGGGATTACGGTTTCGACCCCAATAGATGTCGTAGCGGCTGTTTCAGCGGATTGTGGGGGCATGGTGCCAAAATCTTTGCTTATTTCAAATTCCCATATACCGCCTGCGCAGGAGTTCTTTCCCCATCAAGATTTGGTGCTTAGTGGGCCTGGGCTGCTTTTTGAGAATAATATGGTAATGGATGTAAGTTGGCATAAAGCTAATGGGCCTACTATTCCTATACCGAGTGTGGCTCAGTTAGATAATGGGCTGATGGAGCCTAACTTGGAGGGGGTTTTTACTCGGTCAAATGTGTTCAACGACACTATGTGCTCTTCATCTTTTCTTTTGGTTGACGAAATGGGTTTAGAGCTGGGGGCTATTTCTGCTCGACGTGGTGGCAGGCGATGGAAAAAACAAGCTCGTCACTGTGCTTCCAGTTCATTGGTTACTCTTCCTCCTGTTGGATGTGGGAAACGAGCGCGGGATTATGAGGGTGCAGGGAATTCTAATGTGGTTATGGAATCTAGTAAACGGGTTTGCATGTCTTTGCCGACTACGACTCTGGTTGCCTCTTTTGACTCAACGGTGGTAGCTATTTTTCAGCCCTGCCGATCGCCATGAGTCTCCTATGCTGGAACTGTCGGGGGCTTGGGAACCCTCGAACAGTTCGTTATCTTCAGTTTCTTTTGAAGGCTGAAGGTCCCTGTTTGGTTTTTATTATGGAAACTAAGCTTCAAGTTCGGGATTTGGAAAGGATTCGTGTTAAATTGGGATTTAGTGGTTGTCTTGCAGTAAACCATTGCGGTTTGTCACGGGGTTTGGCCCTTTTATGGTTTGCTAATGTTAAGGTTTCAATGAAAAGTTACTCTGTGGGCCATATTAATGCTTTGGTGACTGAGGATTTGGGGGTACGGGCGTGGCGCTTCACGGGGTTTTACAGTCATCCTGAGGTAGTCAAACGCAGGGATTCATGGGAACTCTTACGCTGACTTCATGATGGTAGTAATCGTTGTGGTTATGTACCGGCGATTTTAATGAAATTCTTTTTGATTCGAAGAAGTGTGGTATGGCTGTTCGAAATAGGTTGCAAATGGAGGATTTTCGTCAGGCTTTGAGTGATTGTCACCTCTCTAATATGGGCTTTATTGGCTGGAAATTTACATGGTGTAATAATCGTGCCTCGGGTTTGGTTCGGGAGCGTCTTGATAGGGGATTGGTAACTGATGAGTGGCAGACATTATTCCCTGAAGCACATCTTCATACTCTTGTGAGCTTGGTGTCTGACCATTCTCCTATTCTTGTGGATTGTTTCGGAGTGCGTCGGGTTAGGTCTCAGCCTGGTCCGAGATGGGGAAGAGTTTATCGTTTTGAAGCGATATGGTTGCGGAAGGAATCATGTGAACAAGTGGTTGCCAATTGTTGGAATGGTGATGTTTCTACTGCAAATGTAGATGGTTTACAGAGGAACATTGTTCGGACTAGTGCAGAATTGAAAGGTTGGAGTCGTAACCAGTTTGGACATCTTCAAAATCAGTTGAGGGTAAAGACCAAACGTCTCGAATGGTTACGATCGCAACCAGTTGTGTCTGAAGATATGTCCTCAGAAATTCTGCTGTTATGTAAGGACATTGATGAGGTCTTGGAGCGCGAGTCTATCATGTGGTCTCAACGGTCTAAGGCCAATTAGCTATGGCACGGGGATCGAAATACTCCTTTTTTTCATGCAACAGCGTCGCAGAGACATCAAAAAAAACAAATTCAAGGTATTAATGATGGTTGTGGAAGGTGGGTTTCCGAACCTTTGGCGATTGAACGAACTGCTTTGGATTATTTTGCTGACCTTTTCAAGGCCTCTAGTTCAAGTTATGGAGCAGAATTTCTAGAGATTGTGTCTCCCATTATTACTGAGGCCATGAATTCAACCTTACTTGCTTTGTTTACGGAGGATAAAGTGAGAGTTACTTTGTGCCAAATGCATCCCACAAAAGCGCCTGGGCCTGATGGTAAGCCGGCTTTATTTTTTCAAAAATTTTGGCACATTACCAGTAAGACTGTTTGTGGTGCGGTTTTGGGTTTTCCCAATAGGGGGCAAGATGTTTCTTTGTTGAATGAAACCTTTATTGTGTTAATTCTGAAGTTGAAGGAACCTAAATCTTTTTCACAATTTCGGCCTATTAGTTTATGCAATGTGGTCTACAAAATAATTTCAAAGGTACTTGCAAACCGACTTAAATTGGTGTTTCCGTCAGTGATTTCGGAATCTCAGTGTGCTTTTGGGCCTGGCCGTCTCCTCACTAATAATGTTCTAATTGCTTTTGAAAATTTTCACTGGCTCAAAAATCGTTGCAATGGGTCTGATGGTTATATGGCTTTAAAGCTTGATATGAGTAAGGCCTATGACCGTGTTGAGTGGGCTTTCTTGGAGAGTATTTTGGTTCGTTTGGGTTTCGCTCCAAGGTTTGTCGCTTTAATTATGTAGTGTGTGTCCTTTGTCTCATATTCGGTGATTATTAATGGTGTGCCTTTGTAGTGTGTGTCCTTTGTCTCATATTCGGTGATTATTAATGGTGTGCCTTCACCGCGTTTCTTTCCCTCGCGGGGATTGCATCAAGGGGACCCCATTTCTCCATATTTATTTATCCATATGCTTGAAGCCCTTTCATGTATGATAAATAATGTTGTTCGGCGGCAGTTGTTATCTGGTGTGAAGTTGAGTCATTCAGGGCCACGGGTGTCCCATCTCTTTTTTGCTGATGATAGTTTGGTTTTTGCAAAGGCGTATTTTGATGAAGCTTAAGTTTTAATGCGCACTTTGAGTGCTTTTGAGGAGGCATCGGGCCAAAAAGTCAATTTGGCTAAGTCTTCGGTATTTTTTAGCAAGAATGTTAATGACCAATCCAAACAAGCCATTTCTCATCTACTGGGAGTGGAGGCTATGGAAACAAATGGGAAGTATTTGGGTATGCCCACCTTTGTGGGTGTATCAAAAAGGGAGGTTTTTGGGTATATCAAGACAAATATTTGGAAACGATTGAATGGTTGGAAAGAAAAGTTTTTGTCTGCTGCGAGGCGTGATATTTTGATTAAGGCCGTTACACAAGCTATTCCTATTTTCATCATGTCCTGTTTTATGGTACCGGTGGGCCTTTGTTATGAAATTGATTCAATGATAAGTCACTTTTGGCGGGGACAACGTGAGGAAGAAAGGAAGATCCATTGGCTTAGGTGGAGCAAACTTTGCTTACCGAAACAAAAAGGAGGTTTGGGGTTTCGTAGTTTGGTGGCTTTTAATAGGGCGATGCTTGCAAAAAAAGCTTGGCGGCTTCTCAAGCATCCTGAATCCTTGGTCGCGCAATTGCTCAAATCTTGGTATTTTCCTACTTCCTCTGTTTTGGATGCTTCATTGGGTTGCAATCCATCTTTAACTTGAAGAAGTATTCATGGTTCGAGATCTCTCTTACAATCTGGGTTGCGATTGCGAATTGGTGATGGTCGAAGGGCCAAGGTTTGGGGGGATCAATGGATTCCACGTCCTTTGTCCTTCTGAGTTATTGTTGTTGAATTCACCCCATGTGAAGGGGAAATTGTCTTGTGAACACACCTTGGTTGGTCAACAAGGAAGTAGGCTACCAACCATGTCAAAGAAGGAGGCTGCCGAAGTCAAGCATGGAGGCTACCCAATGGCACTCCCACCTACTCCAAGGTGTATGAGATCTCTCTTACAATCTGGGTTGTGATTGCGAATTGGTGATGGTCGAAGGGCCAAGGTTTGGGGGGATCAATGGATTCCACGTCCTTTGTCCTTCCGAGTTATTGTTCCACCTATGGACTTGCTGTTGGATGCAACTGTTTCGATTCTGATTGATAAGGATAGGGGGATACTGGAATGAGGAGATCATCACTTCTATGTTCTCTTCGATTGATGCTCCCATAATTCTTGCAATTCCTCTTTGTCGAAATTGGCTCGAGGATACTCTTGTTTGGCATTACTCTAAGAATGGGATTTTTTCGGTCAAGTCGGCATATCTTTTCGAGTTGGCTACATCTAATATTGACATGAATGCTGGTTCTTCAGAGGATGGGATGACTTCTGCTGTTTTTTGGAAAATGGTTTGGAAGTTAAAAATTCCACCAAAAATTCGTGTGTTTGCTTGGAAAGCTTGTCTCGATGTTCTGCCAGTTAAAGCAAATCTAATTAAGAAACGAATCCCTCTTACTGATTGCTGTGAGGTTTGTTGTGAGGGGGTGGAAACTGTGCGCCATTGTTTGTTTCAATGTGAGTTTGCCGAACGGGTTTGGTTGGCTGCGGGTTTAGATCACTTATGGCAACTGGGGTTGACATGTGATTTCTTTGCTTGGATTTGGCGAATTTCTTCATCCCATGGCTCTGCAGTTTTGGGCCTTGTGTTTTCGATGTGCTGAGGAATTTGGTTACATCGTAATCAAATGGTTTTTGCAAAAACCAATAGCTGTGCTGGGGAGGTGGCGTCCATCGCGCTTAATAGTTTTTCGACTTTTATTGGTGCTCAGGTTAATCTTCCCCAGATGCCCTTTTTGACATCTTTGGCTGTTTGGTTGCCTCTAGATGTGGGGGTTTTTAAGCTAAATTTTGATGGCGCAATTGGTAAAGAGCAACATGTATCGGGTCTAGGCGTCATTGCTCGTAATAGTTTGGGCCAAGTAATGGCCTCTCTTTCTGAACAGGTGGGGCTAATTTTGGATGTAGATTTCGTGGAAGAGAAGGCAACATTACGCGCTGTTCGGTTTGCACACAATCTTGGTCTAGCAGATGTATACTTGGACGGGGACTCATTGACTATGGTTGATGCTCTGATGGCTGCAAATTGTACTAATTTTGAGCTCGTTGGGTTTGGTCCCCTTATTATGGAAGCTCGTCAAATTTTGACCTCCTTTCATTCCTTCATGGTAAGCCATGTTCGCCGCACAGGCAATGTGGTAGCTCACCGTTTGGCTAGATTGGCTATCTCCTCTTCGGGGTTGCGTGTTTGGATGGAAGAGGTTCCGACTTCGGTTGCTTCGGCTGTTCATCTTGATGTTGCTGGTTCATGATTTCTCTATTTTTCCTTTTGGTCTTATTCTGCTGTAATCTCTGTTTTTCAAACACTATCTAAAAAAAACAATATCATACATCTTATCTCTAAAAATAAATGGGGCATTTGGGTCTGTTTATAGTGAATGATTCCTTTATCTTGCAAGAATTTCAATCATGTTGTAGAAAGAATTTGTTGCTCAAGTTTTTATTTTATTTATTGTTATTTTTATTATTAACATATGATATCATTATAATATCAAATAAACACAAATAATAGAAAGAAACTCTCAAAATGGAAGCAGAAAACATCAAATAAATACACAATTCCTAATATAATTTTGAATGGCTTTTTAGGTAAGTTTTAGTTAATTATTTAATTACAAATTTTTAATATAACACAATTATTAAAAAATAAAATTTTAGAATGGGTCTGATTGATCTTAAACATTTGTTATAGGAATGGCCAATTTATGTCACATCTCAACATAAATCAAAATCTTGTTAAAGCTGCATTTGCAGCTTGGTTCTAAAACAGTTATATTTAGGGTGTTTGATTTGAGTTTTTTGGATTAAGATTTTTTGAAAATTGAATTTTTTGATTTTCGTATTCTTTTATTTTTAGTGAATATTTTTAAAATTTTTAAACATTTTTTTTACTTTTTTAGATGCACCTTAGTTGAATGTATCTAAAAAGTAAAAAATTTGTGAAAAAATATTTTAAAAAATTAATAAATACATAGAAATAAAAAAAAAATGTATTGAATTCTTTTTTTTTTTTGTATTTTTGGTATTTAGTTAATTTTTAAAAGATTTTTTTTACATTTTTTTTACTTTTTAAGTGTATTTATGTTAAGTGTGTCTAATAAATAAAAAAATTGCTTAAAATATTTAAAAAATTCAATAAAAACAAAAAAACACAAAAAAATAAGAAAATAAAATTTTCTGAAAAATATTTTCTGAAAAATGAAAACCGGCAAGTTGATTGGTTTTTTTAACAAAAAAATTATTTGGCAAGATGAAAAAAGGTTACATATAAAATTACAATTATACCCTTATATTATTTAAGGTTATATATGGGTGAAAATATAAATTTTCTAAATTAGGTGGGATAGTTTAGTCATTTTATTATGATGTGACATTATAAATAAATATTAACTAAAAAAGTTAAAAGTAATTTTTTATCAACTTCTCAAATTCCCTTTTAAAAAAATAAAAAATAAAACTAAGTAAAATCGATTTTTTACTATCCAAAATATCCCGTAAATGATCAATCATATGTCATATATCAACATAAAGCAATTTTCAAGATAACGAGTTAACTAACCAAATCAAGCCATTTTTCATTCTCATTATTCAATGTACTTATAGCAATGTTTCATTTTATTTATAATTTGGTGCTTAATATTTTGTTTCTTAAAATTCTAACATAAAAATAGTAGGTTCTATGATTTAGATTAATAACTACTCATTTAGAATACCACTTGGACTCGCACAAGGAGCATCCAAACATAAAAATAAATTAGAAAATTCTATTCTTACATAAAGTTTATATAAAAATTTTGATAAAAATGATGTGACAATACTATTATTATAAATAAATTCAACTTCATAAAATATTACACCAAATTTATATTTATTTTATTTTTTCTCTCATAAACATTATATCTAATTACAAAAAAAAAAATTAGTTATTTTTTCAAATATAAAAATTTTAACCTATTAAAATAATTAAAAATTAAAATAATCTACTAAAATAACTAACTTTTCAAATAAGATCAAAGTGTGACCCATCAACTAGTCCAATGGATTCAAAAATTCAACTTGCATTCTCTTGTAATTTTCCATTTGCAATGGTTAAGACAATGGGAAAAATCTAAAATTGGGAAAAGTCAAAAAACGGCTTTGTTAACAAATTTTCTCACACTTGACATAATTTTAGCTGAATTTACAAAAATCATAAAAGAAAATTTATGTGATTTTGCAAGAGATACTGATTTGCAAACAGATGCAAATTATATTTTGACTAAATTAGAATTATGTAATATTTGTCTTTTTGAAGATTATGTTCAAACTATTAAAAAATATTATTATCTTATTGATCCACTAGCAAATCAACCCTGGTTAGATCAATTTTTTCATAAACTCCCTAATCCATGGGATGAGTTATGTATTAAAACATATCCTGATTTTCTCAAAAAAATGGGAAAGGAAGAATATGATAACCTTGGTTTTCGCATTAATTATGTTCTAAGACTGATAGCAGATCGGTGTCTAGAGGCAAAGGCGAAAAAACAAATAAAAAATCAAATTTCTAACTCACCGCATGGTCAAAAATGTTGTGATAAAATTTTAAAAGAAAATTGAAAAATTGGTTGTAATACATTTCCTAAAAGAAAATGATTTTCCAAAAAGCGTAGAAAATATAAATGAAAACCTTGGAAAAAGAACAAAACTTTTTCAAAAAAGAAAAAGTATATTCGAAAAAAGAAACCAACAAGTATTTCAAAAAAGAAAACTTGTAAATGTTACATTTGTAACGAAGAAGGTCACTATGCACCCGAATGCCTAAAAAGGGGAAAAAGTGCAAAGAAAATGATCAAAATCCTTGAAGAACGAGATTTTGAAATAATATATGGAAAAGAAATTTCTGATAAAGAAGAAATCTTATATGAAATTTCTAGTGATGAAGAAAGTTCAGATGAAGAACTAATCTTCATGATGACTAATAATAGTCAAGAAATATCTCAAGAAACAAATAGTATATCTTAAGAAGAATTACAGGCAATTCGACTTGGAGATGTAATCGGAGAAGAAAAAACTTTTACCGACGAAGAATTAGCAAAATTTGAAAAAATGCAAGAAGTTGCTGTTCCAGAAATTTACAAACTTTCAAAATTTAACTTCTTTTCGGCAAGAGTGTTTGAACAATGCAGTGGTAACACTCAAGCAAAATGGTCGGAAGAAGGAAATATTGATCTTCCTTTTTTTGATAAGAAAAAGGTTGCAAGATGGAAAAAGAAATATCCTGAAATTCAATATATTCATATTGGATTAATTCAAGTAACCATAACAGCCTTATTTCGCCAAGGGATAGATACTCCTATTTTGGCAGTAATTTTTGACAAAAGATTTTCTGACCCAATGAAAGCAATCATTGGAGGAATTCAGTCTAATTTGGCTAATGGAGTAGTTTGGTTTAATGTTAGACCAAATTTCTTTATTTCCATAAATGATCCTAATCTTGAAGATACAGTCAGAATAAGAATTAAAACACAAGGATTAGGAATGAAATCAAATTCTCATGATTTGGCTATTCATTGGAAAACAATTCACGAATTAACCAAATTTCTTGAAACAAAAACAAGATCAAACGATAA